TATTTAAAATAGTAAATATAAAAGAATATCATAATTAAATATAATAAAATAATTTATATTTTATAATGTTAGAAAATAATATATTTCTACGTAAATTCTAAATTATTAATTATATGAATTTAAAATACTTGAAAAATTAATAAACGTGAGACACTGACTCTATAAATATAAAATATAATCACAATATAATAAAACTTGTTTTATTTATATGAAGTTGTAAATAATATTAGTTTTCTACATATGTAATTTTAAAAATATAATTAAAATACCTTTTTTGGCAAATTTGGTGTAAAAATACGAGAACCATTTGAATGAATTATCATTTTGTTAGTTATTTATTATTGTTGCATATTCATCATACATAATTTCACAATAAATATATAAATTATTTTAATTTATATTTTAAAATTTTAACATATTTAAGTACACGTGTAGTACACGAGCATTGTACTAGTAAGTAAATACTGCAAGAAAATCTATAAAGGTAAATTATCAATGATGATTAATTTTTTATAGATAAATTATCAATAATAGGCAAATTCTCATATATATTACAAATAATAAATAAATTCTGATATAAAAAAAATAATGCAGTGTATGTAAATATTTATAAGATTTTTATTTTTTATTTTATTTTTTATGACATGAATATTGGTGAGAAATTAATCACAATTTTTTTTTTAAAACATTTATCTGATTAGTTTTGCAAATAAATATAGATAAAAAATATAAAAAATATAAAAAAATATTTCACCCTTATAAAACATATATTATTTTGTGGGATCAATTTTGGGATGGAAAATCACCCAACAGACAAAACATATATATGTACCAAATTAATATATCTTGAAGATCTTTAATTTGATTCTGTGCATTTGCACATATCAAATATAAATAAAGTAATATAAGTTATTTATATGCATATAACCTTAAAATTACAAGTTAGATAATGGTGTTATATTTTAAAATTTGATTATTGGTTAAAATAAATAGTCGTAACTAATTGATTCCATATGAATTACTATATTAATTGCATAAATTTAGATATATATATATATATATATATATATTTATTTAAATTTTATTAATACTCATCTAATATTGTTGTTGTTTATATAATTTGATATAATTATAATTAGAGAAGCACTTCGAGTTCGAGTCATGTAGAGAATAAGTGAAGAACTGGTCTTGATTTTTTTTTTTTAAGAAAATAAATAAATAAATAAAACAAAACTATTAATTTTATTTTCTTCCATAATTGTCGACCACAACTAACTATTTGAATAACAACAATTTTTGAAGAAAACAAGGCACTGATTTTGACATTTGACAACATAAGCCTGACATTTTTGAATAACAACTCGTGTCCTGTTCCCTGAAAACAAAACTTTCCTTTAAAAAATAACAAAATATACTATAAAGTCTCAAATGTTTTGCCTTTTGACAATATCCTACAAATAAACAACCCATGAAAGATTCTATCATCAACCATCAACAAAATTTAGCGACTGACTTTTACTATACACATTAAATCAAACACTAATATGACACCACAAAACCCACCAACCACACCACCGGCGGCGGCTCCGGCAGCCGCCAAGCACCATCCCTGCCCACTCGACGACGCAATCGAGCACTACATCGGCGACATCAACCGGACCCAAATTTCACATTTTGCCCTTGTCTCGTTCGCGTGGTTTTTCGATGCACAACAAAACTTCATCACCATCTTCACCGACGCCTTCCCCAAATGGAGTTGCACAAAACCGTGCCAAGTCGAAACCAACATGTGCCGCTTGCCCGAGACCTCGTGGTCGTGGGATTCCCCCGCGTGCACATCCACCGTATCCCAATGGTCCCTCCAGTGCGCGGGACCAATTATCCGTGGTCTGCCTGCCTCGTCATTCTACTTGGGCTGTCTCATAGGTGGGTTGGGCCTGGCCACGTTGGCCGACTCGAGGTTGGGCCGGAAGAACATGCTTGCCCTGTCTTGCCTTGTCATGTCCGTATTCGGGTGCCTATCTGCGGCTTCCGAAAACATATGGATGTATGCCGGGTTGAGGTTCGCGAGTGGGCTCGGGCGGGCCCCGATTGGGACGTGCGCGTTCGTCCTCGGGAGCGAGCTCGTTGGGCGGAAATGGAGAGGAAAAGTCGGGATATTCGGATTCTTGTGCTACGCCCTAGGGTTTCTATCCTTACCGATCGTGGCTTATTTGCTTCGGGGCTCGTCGTGGAGGTTCATGTACCTTTTCACTTGCGGTCCGTGCATTTGTTACTCGGTTTTGGTCTACTTCACGGCCCACGAGTCCCCGAGATGGCTTTTCATAAAAGGGAGGAAACGGGAGTTTGCGGAAACCCTAAAGAGCCTCGCGCGTTCGACGAAGGATTTGTCCGTGGATTATTTGGAGTGGACGGAAGAATCGCACGAGCAGTATCGCTTTTACTCAGCGGTCAAGATATTGTTAAAAAAGAAGTGGGCCTTCCATCGTTTGATAAAAAGCACGGTGGCGGGCTTTGGGGTTGGGCTGGCATACTACGGGATGCCGTTGGGCCTCGGGAGTTTACCCGTCAATCTATACTTTAGTGTCGGGATGAACGCGCTATTCGGGCTCCTCTCTTCTGCAGCCCTACTTCCCGTGATTGGGATGATGAGGAGGAAGGCGTTAATGGTCGGATTGTGCGTGCTAAGCGGGATTTGCAATGTGGCCGGGGTGGTTTTGTTAGGGCCCAACGGGTTGTTGAAGATGGGATTGGAGTTGCTTTCATTTATCGGGGCGAATATGGCCTTCGACGTGCTCTTGGTGTACGTGCTAGAGCTTTTTCCGACGTGCGTGAGGAACTCGGCCGTGTCAGTGGTGAGGGAGGCAATTTTGCTCGGGGGGTTTCTAGGGCCGATAGTGGTGGCGGTGGCAGCTAACGGGGGGAAGGGGTTAGTTTCGTACGGCGTGTTTGGTGTGACGATTTTGACGTGCGGGTTGTTTGTGGTTTGCTTGCCGGAGACTAAAGGGAGGGTGTTGTGTGATACTATGGACGAGGAGGAGGAAACGGGTGGTAAAAGAAATGAATCGATTGTGAGCTCACAATCAACCCGCAATTTGTTCGATAAACGATCTGAGGTCGAACTCATTTAGTACTTCTTTAGTTAGCTCGAAAATAGAATTTTTATGTAAATTTATACAACTTGGCTCGTTAAGGTTCGAGTTCAGCTAGTTTATTATTGATAAACAACCCGTTTCTTAATGACAATACGTTTAGTTAACGAGTTCGGTTTGGCTCGACTCGACTTATTTATACACCTATTGAAAGTAAAATAAGAGATAAGTGTAATGGTCAACTGATTAGTGTCGATTCATAACAGGATCACGAACGCGACATTGAAATCCCAATCAAGGTATATCATATACTCAATAATTTGGGACAAGAATATACAAATATGCTAAGAGGGTGTTTGTTTATATTTTTTTTCAATACATACTCAATTAATATTATCAACTAATACAACGCTCATGAACTATATCGGGGTTTGAGAAAAAAATAATTGCACAACACATAATGAAAAGAAGAAATAAAATTCTTATTGAAATAAAAATTATAAATAATTAATAACAGAATAAAAGATTTTTTAATATTATTTTAAATTATATAAAATAGTTTTTATCAAATAATATTTATTTTATTTAAGATATATTTATTTTTAAAATTAAATAGAATAGTTACTTTATTCTGCAGTCAATATAACGTCCGTCAACAACAGAGGTCTATTAAAATAGAAATAAAATATTTGTATCAAAATAAATAAGAAGAATACACATTTATAATAACTGGTGTATGAATTAAATAAGAAAAGGAAATGCAATTTATGGTAATGTAGAAAAATGAAACATAAAATAGTTTATGGTACTTAATTGTATAAAAAGAAGAAGAAAGAGACCAATCACATATTTAATGTGAATAATATAGATATTTAATGCAATCCAAGACTAATTATTATTTTTTAAAAAAATATTATTTTATATCCAAGCCTAGCTACGAAACATAATTTTTGACACATAAGATTCCGAAACGTGCAGGTCTGCCACTTATGCCCAACGCAATCTGCAATTATAAAATGTATAATTAAATATTATCAACCAATCATTCTTATATATTACTAGTATTCCACCTTGTGCATTTGCACATATGTAAATAAAATTAAATATTATAAGTTATATAATTGTATTATATTTCAAACATATAGTATTATAAGTTATATTTATATATATAATATTAAAATTATAAATTATATAATAGTATTATATTTTAAAATTTGATCATTGGTTAAAATAAATAGTACACACGATTTGATTATATACGAATCACTATATTGATTTGAATAAAATGCAATAAATATATACTTTTTATAATTTTGAGTGATCATGACCAATTAATTAGCTGAAAAATATTACATTTATTATAACAATTGCTTATGTAATTTTAAGAAATTTTACTATAACATAAAAAAAATTAGTTTATTAATAAACAACATCTTCATCATATAAAAAAATATTGATTTTAGTGTAAAATATAATTTTATGTAACTTTCATATATTATTTAGTATAAAATATAATTACTAATTTTAATATTAACTATTATATTATTCATTAAAAAATATAATTATTAATCAATTAACATAAAATATAATGATTTTTGTCTTAATTAACCCAAAAAATGTAATAAAATATTTTTTTATTAATGGGATTGAGTGTATTAATGCCACATAAATAAAATTTATTAGGTTTTATTAATGATTTGCCACATAGGTAAAATTTATTAGGTTTTATTTATTAGGTAAAATTTATTGCTTAGCTAGCAATTATATATATATAGATATCAACTTTAGTTCAGTGTTCATCTAGCTTACATAATTTTAATTAACCATCACTTCACATCATTTCTCTCATATTTTTACATCAAATCAACTTTAATTTTATATATTATTTTAATATAAATCAAAATCATTAACAACTAATTATATTATATTTTTAAAATTAACTTTGATTAAAAAACAAATCATTTTAAACGAATATATTTATATTCAATCACGCCCTAAATTTCTCAAAATACAATGTGCATTTTCAACTACCGTGGGAGTCGCATGCTGACAAATTGAGAATAACTCGTGAGACAGGGTTAAGACTTAAGAAGCTAAATGATTTACAAAGACTTAATATTAAGTGGAATATTGGGTGTAACAAGTCTGAACATAAACCCTTGTTCAAGAAAAATCTGGATCAGTCCACATTATATATTTATATTTTCTCATATATGCAATTTTTTTTATTTTTCCCTTAAATAATGACGTCTTTTGTTTTGATGCGCATACACATAGACCAATGAAAAAATCAAAGAAGGAAAAACTTCGCTTATAAGCGATAGGGGCGGGTGAAGGTAGATTGAAATTTTTGTTAATAATTTTAACGTGAATTCATTATACAAATTATTATGTGAGGCAATCTAACTGTTAATCGAGTAAACTCGTTATATTTACTAGTACAATTTTTGGGCGATGCACAAGTAAGAAATATTCATTAATATTTATAAGTTACAAATGCTTATTAAATAATATTTATAAATTAGAAATATGGAATCAACATGTAACAAAATTTACCTATATTAATTTGTTGAAAATGTTATATGAAATTTAAATTGTGCAAAATTACATAAAACATGTCTATTAAAAATTTGTACACGACCCGTACGGTGCAAATAACTGATAATATGTTACATTAATTATATTCATTTCAAAAATAGATGTCATTTTAAAATTTTTATTCAGAAATTTGATTTGACTACAATGTGATTTAAGTAAAAACAAACCTTTATACACACACACACACACACACCAAGTAATTTGATATGTTCCACGCACGTTTACAAAGAAGAATCGACCATAGTATTATTCAGATTTTTCTTTCATTAATATCGAGTAAAATGCTTAGCAATATGAAAAAAAAAAATATTGAGATACCATTTATTACCATAAGCGGGTATATTGGATCAATATATAGTATACCAAATAATTCGATTTCATACATTATCGATGAAATACAAAAAATGATATTCAGTTTAATCACGAACTTAATTGCCCAGCATACAAAACAAAACAAAATCAAAACTCAAGTTTATTATAGATAAAAAAAAAAAAAGACCCAAAAATAGTTATTAAAAAATAATTAAATAAAAACTGCCATTAACACAATTATTTTTGAATAATTTTATAATAAATTATAATTGAATAAATCAACCGAACTTACACGATCTGCGTAATTAGGGTATCTTAAAATGTAAATTTTATTGTCTAATTATTTCCTTAATTATCCACGATTTGAGCAATTAATTACACAAAAAATGAATAACATTTATTAATAATACACAAATAAAAATTGTCATTAACACAATTTTTTTAGAACAGTTTTTGCAAACTGCATAATTAATTAATGTTGTCGATATTTCCATAATTGAAGTAATTATTTACAGATTGAATAAATCAGTCGAATTTACATAATTTACTAATTAAGGTATATTAAAAATGTATTTCACAAAAAAAATTGCACGAAAAATATAAAACACTTATTAAAAAATAAATTATATACAATTTAGTTGGATTTTTTTTTACCAAAATACATAATTTATATTGCAGCCGAAATTCCCATATTTGGGTAAATCAACCAATTCACATGATTTGAGTAATTAAGGTATCTTAAAAATGAATTTACCATAAGTGATTATTTGAAATATCCCATAAATTATTAAATTAATTTGAGTCATTAAGGTATCTTAAAAATGAATATTTATATGGCGTAATTATTTTCTTAAATGATGAACCGCAATTTCTATAAGTGATTATTTGAAATATAAATTGTTAAACTAATTTTCTAACATAGTAAATAGATTTTTTTTGGAAGGAAATAGTTGCTATTTAAAACATAATCAAACCTTTTTATATAGATATAGATGTGAATAAAAATACATATTTATAGTATTAAATACTTTCGTTTTAATAATTTAACATTTTTGAATGACTAGAGCTTCTTGATCTGTTTTTGACCATACATATTATTTTTATGTTAGTAATTTGTTATTTGCCTTGTAGGACTAAACTAGTGTGTAGCCCGTGCGATGCATAGAAAACAATATTAAATAATAATAGTTATAAATAGGACTCGAGTTTGAGTCACTCAATGTAGGAAGTGAGAATTACTATTAATTTTCTTTAAAAATAGGAAGGAAAAAGGATAACTATACATTAAAGAGGAGTATAATAATATCAAATAATAATTATAAATTAAATATGTGGGGTCAAACAATGTAAAATTATCTTGTATAAGAGAATATAAAATTATATGTTTAAAATATTAAAAACATCTAAATTATTATATTAATATATGTAAAAGTATCCAAAATTTTCTATATTATATTTTAAAGGTATGAAGTCACCTACAACTTTTCTAAACTATTTTGGAAAGAAAACTATCTGAAAACATTTAAAATATTAACATTTGTATAAAAGTTTTTTTCTAAACTATTTTGTAAAGAAAACATGTCTAAAATTATAAAAAAAAAATAAAAAAATATCTAAACAATTTGTTTAAAGTATCTAAAATATTATAAGACATTATCTTACGCTAAAGCTTTTGAGTGAATATTTAGATGATAGGATTTATGACGTTACTTCCACCTAAAAAACTATTTATTGTTTGCTAATTATTTTCGCTATCCGCAAGTGTACGGCCTATTGTTCGCTAATTATTTTCGCTATCTACAAGTGTACTGCATAGCTATAGGTAGTGGGAGCAAGTTGTATTCCATAGAGATTGTAGTTGAATTAATTAGGGGGTGATTGGATATGAATTCAACTAGTAAAAAACTAGTTTTTTTTTTTAACTATAGTTAAGTTTTAAAAAAGTAGTATAGTTAGTTGTTAGTGGATATATTAAAATAACATTTAAATTAAAATAATTAAAGTTGATTTGATGTAAAAGTAGGAGAAAATGATTGGAAGTGATAGTTAGTTAAAATTATGTGAGTGAATGAATAGTGAATTAAAATTGATGTGATGTGTAATAATGATTGGTTGATATTATTTA